ATTTTTTCCCACATTGTTTGGTAAATGCCTACGCTCTGTAATCTCATTGGGTTATTGTCGCAATTCGCTTGTGCAATACAATCACCGTTGTTACGTTTCAGTTTCATATTGGCGATCCAGTTGGCTTACAAAGAAACGCATGGTCTCCTATAAATAAATAATAAACTAGATGATGACCTTTGCTCGGTTTTTTTTTTTTGAAAACGCCATCTTGTTGTGTCTTTAAAGCGGTTAGTTGCCCTCAATTAAGAAAAATAGTATTATTATTCGCCAATAGATGTCGGGAGGAGTTGACTATTGAAAACACGAATAAAACAACATTTTCTGAAAATAAATCGTAGCTAGATCGATTTATCGCCCCCGAAATCCCCTGTATTCCTTCCCCTGTGAAGTAGTAATGCGTTTCGGTTTGAAGGGTGGGGCAGCCGTTGTAACTTACTTGAGACCTTAGAACTTATATCTCAAGGTGTGTGGCGCATTTACGTTGTGGATGTCTATGGGCTCCAGTAACCACTTAACATCAGGTGGGCTGTGAGCTTGTCCACACATTTAAGCAATAAAAAAAAAGTCATCGAGCATAAAAACCCGATATTACCAAACGACTCTTCAAGTCTTTTAAGCTTATCGAACATGGGTTTTGTTTGTGTGTATGTTCCGGCTAATCTCCGGAACGGCTGGATCGATTTTGATGAGACTTTCATTAATAGGTAGCTGATGATATAAGGAGTAACTTAGGCTACTTTTTTAGAATAGCCTCGCCCCGCGGCGTCACCCGCAGTTATTGTCGTACCGCGCGCAACATGGCGGGACTCGCCTATCAATAATAGAATTTAATGATTCCGAAGCGAAGCGAGGGCGGGTCGCTAGTTTTAAATATATTTGGCAGTGTCATAGAAAGTACTCCCTTCTGGCTGAGTCTTTGCTCGCCCACCTGTCCTGATGAAATAGGAAAGGCGTCCGGGCCACCAGTAATACCTTACTCATAAAAATAATGAGTGAATTAGTTGAATTTGAATTTTTTCAATATTTTTTTTAATATTGTATTGTCATCGGTCCTTAATAAGTATACCAAATTTCGAGTTAATCCGACGTTTTGAAGGGGGTCAAAATCATATTCAAATATTCCGTTACATACTGACATAGCTAATAAAAGCGTATTAAAAAAAGCGCTACGCACACCACATGTATTTCATTTCCAATATCAAGTCACTCAAATCACAACCTCAATATTTAGGATCTATCTCTTCACTTTTGTGGATTTGTCATCCGATGATCAGTTCCATATTTCAAGTCATCAGGAATTCGGATTAAAATTTACGACAATTATTTCCACCCGAAGATAATAAGTAAACGATTTTTTAAGAGAATAAATTTACATACATATTTTATTGCCCTAGTAGGCAGACAGGCGTACGGCCTACCTGGTGGTGAGTGGTTACCGTCGCCCATGGACTTCAGCAATGCCAGGGGCAGAGCCAAGCCGCTGTCTACCGTTGTAGGACCTCTTGTGAGTCCGCACGGGTAGGTACCGCCACCCTGCCTATTTCTGCCGTGAATTAGTAATGCGTTTCGGTTTGAAGAGTGGGGCAGCCGTTGTAACTATACTGAGAGCATAGAACTTATCACTACCTCAAGGTGGGTGGCGCATTTACGTTGTAGATGTCCATGGGCTCCAGTAACCACTTAACACCAGGTAGGCTGTGAGCTCGTACACCATCCAATCAATAAAAAAAAAGTGTAGGGGAGCTCATTCCAAAGCCGGATAAATATATTAGATAACAGAAATCACAAAAATCCCTCATCAAAATACCTTATTACATTTATAACAACTGTAATATAGAAAATTACAATAGTAATTACATTAAAAAAAAACGGCCTTAAAATTACGTAATTTAATTACAGAAACACTTCTTGAGAAATAGTTAATCTAAAAACACCTATTACTATTCTGGCGGGAGTTTTATTTAGATTAACAATGTCGCAATGATTATGTTTATTAAGACAGTAAGAAATAATCTTATCGTATTAAAAGCTTGGGTAGGTTAGAAAAAGCTTAATAGTGACCTGGGCTGGAAGAGATGTTAGTTCAAAATCTACTTCGAATAGAATATTTTGATCACACAATAGAAAGTACCGTCGTTAAAATTAATAAAAGTTTGGAAAGGACATGGGCCACTTTCGGCCCAGCTACCCGTGCTCTAGAGGTCATTAATGAAATATCTTTAGAAAAAATCATATGATATAACCTAAAATTCTTATCTTATTTTTTAAATATCTCTGTATCCCCATGAACAATATTGATTTTAATTTCTTTATAACAAAAGGGATATATAGTCTGTTATTTAAACTTAATTTCATTACTGTCCTTGAACTTCGTTTAGTGGGCCGTGCAATGTATTGAGAGTGGCCCATGTCCTTTGGATAGCAATCTCATTCAAGGATTCATTTTACGCTGTCTTCGGTAACCACTTAACAGCTGTGAGCTCGTTTACTTGTCTAAAGAACTAGAACTCTTACAAACATCTGAAATAGTCGGTCCGTATCAGCGAGAAGGACATAGTTATCTTCGTCCGCACCAGCTAAAAGTACCGTAGTGGGCCGATATGAAAGTGCTAAAAATGAGAAATGAAATGAATGCAACGCCAATTCTTTCACCGGGACCTTTCCGCCGTACCAGAGCCCTAACACGATTCCAGATAAATACTCTGTATACATATAAATAAATAAAAATCTATCTTCTATACATATAAAAATGAATTGCTGTTCGTTAGTCTCGCTTAAACTCGAGAACGGCTGGACCGATTTGGCTAATTTTGGTCTTGAATTATTCGTGGAAGTCCAGAGAAGGTTTAAAAGGTAAATAAATATGAAAATGCTTGGAATTAAATAAAAATAACAATTTTGTTTTTCCTTAGATGTGTCCCCTTGATGTGTCTTTTATTTATCGATTGAAGCACTACGGAGTCTGCCGGGTCAGCTAGTAATACATAAAAAAGTCCACCTTCATCTAATACCACACGAAATAAAGGCACTTTTACAACTGTCTTACAAAAGTCCGTAAATTACCAGACTTTGTTATTTTACCAATAAAATTCTCATGCATAGGAAAAACTGGTGGTAGGACCTCTTGTGAGTCCGCACGGGTAGGTACCACCACCCCACCTATTTCTGCCATGAAGCAGTAATGCGTTTCGGTTTGAAGGGTGGGGCAGCCGTTGTAACTATACTTGAGACCTTAGAACTTATATCTCAAGGTGGGTGGCGCATTTACGTTGTGGATGTCTATGGGCTCCAGTTACCACTTAACACCAGGTGGGCGGTGAGCTCGTCCAACCATCTAAGCAATAAAAAAAAACTGTCTTACAAAAGTCCGTAAATTACCAGACTTTGTTAATTTACCAATAAAATTCTCATGCATAGGAAATGTGATTTTCCCGACTGTCTGTGTTTGTTTGACAGTTTTTTTCCGATATTAATTGTATTCCGTTGCATTGTCTGTTTCGCTTTGTTTGACTTCACGTGCGATTTACGCGCGGCATTTGACAATAGATAATATATCGACTCAATTAGCTATGCCTGTAATAAATCTATATATTAATACGTGAAGCAAAAACTTTGTATCCCTTTTAACGAAAATTGCGCGGACGGAGGAGTATGAGTTTTTCCTCACTTATAGAGAGTATAGAGAAGAAGTGCACAATGCTAATATTTTTTTAAAATAATGCATCAATAAAGAAAACATTACACACACTACATACCATGTATTTGACGCACACACGCATGCATACTATTTATTGTCAAACTTTTGTTCTTGACGTCTGTGGTCAAATTGAGAATAGATTAAATATATTTTTTTTAGTGTAGTCTTTGTGAAATTTGTGATTATAAAAGTATAAAATACAATTATAATAGTGTACAAACTTACAATTCCAATTAATTATAGTCGAATTTCGACTACTGCGGGACCACTAGTCGACTCAATTAGCTATGTTTGTAATAAATCTATATTATTTTTGGAAATGTCGTGTCGGTGATGGAAAACCAGCCAATACCCATGGATGTCCAAAGGTGAATAAGGGATTCATCTAAGAATGATCAACAGCGCTGTCTGGGTATCATAACGGTGTACTGTGATTAGCAACAAGCTTTGATGTGAAGCACAAGATGTAAAGCTCACAGCCTATCTAGTGTTAAATGGTTACCGAAGCCCTTAGCCATCAACAAGTTAAATGTAGTCATCCATCTTGAGACAAAAGTTCTACGTACCCAAATTTCAAACGGGAACGCATTACTGCTTCACGTGGTAATAGGCAGGGTGATATCTACCCGTGCGGACTTACAAGACGTCTTACCACCAGTAAAAAATCATTAAAGCAATATAAAAAAGATATCGTTTTTCATAGATTTAGCGATGGTTAATGCCAAGAACGCGTTACCTTAGTCTTCTGAATAGCCTAAAATAAACTGTCTTGTATTATGTGCGTTCGTAAGTCGCACCGACTGCAATGACGCTTGGTACTTACATATTTTATGTGGTTTCAATAAATGTCTTCAGTGATAGTGAATGCGTTACCATGGTTCCATTAGTAAGAAAACAAGCCTTTTTACACGCTTTATATTAGGACCACTTGTATGTATGTTTGTAACTGACTCCTTTAGACGCGATTTTGACCCACTTTAAATGGCCAGATTTCATTTAAACTTTGTAGATTTATCGAGGACCGATGACAATGCAATACTAAAAAAAAAATTTGAAGAAAAAATTTTAAAATAATTGAAATTCTATATTAAAAAACGAAAAATAAATAATAGTTTAAAAAAAACAAAAAAAAACATGCTTTTTTTACAATAAAATATATATATTTTTTACACTATTTTCAAATTAAATTTATTAAAATTTTATTTTCTGTTTTTTTAGTTGAATTTTATATAAAGCGTGTTTTTTCTTTTTTTTATACTATTATTTATTTAACCCACTATCGTGTTTCATTCTGTTACAGACTCTATTGTTTCCAGACAGTAAAATTATAAGCGAAATGCTGCCGTATAGAAGATTCTGCGGGATGAAACTGAACGTCGGGTTCTTGGCCGTATTTCTGTATTTAATAGACAAATCTATACAGGTAATATGAGTTTTATATTTACGTTGCCGTAATTACGAATTAGTTTTAGTTACATCAAACTTTTTAAGCTATTGCATAATTTCTATCGCGGGCCTTGAGCGCGGCGACTGAATCAATAAATTCCGTAACGAAAATAACCTGACACCCCCACTACGCCTACTATGTAGCTCGCGTTCAACACATTCACACGGTGCGCTTGTGTAGTGTTTGTGATGTAAATAAGCGCGGCGTGACGTCGCACTGCCGCATGCACATCATGAAAAGTCTGCCCATCTCTCCCTCACGCGGTCTAGGTTATGAGTGTGAAGGGGACAGTTAATGTTTTGCTTTTGTTAATGTTTATAAATATAGCATGGTCTTATTTTATTATTGTTTTAATATTAAATTATTATTCTCGATTTATAATTGCATAAGTTGATAAAAAATGCTATGCAATAGCTTTACCGCGGCAGTCTCAGAGTGCCAACGTATTTTTTTTTGTCTTATTGAGGCACAAAACAAATTGCAAAGACGACCTCACAGCCCACCTGGTGTTAAGTGGTTACTGGAGCCCATAGACATCTACAACGTAAATGCGCCACCCACCTTGAGATATAAGTTCTAAGTTCTCAGTATAGTTACAACGGCTGCCCCGCCCTCCAAACCGAAACGCATTACTGCTTCACGGCAAAAATAACTTATTTGAATTTTACTTATTTTCTGCAGATCTGTTTGCTAATCGACAAAGGGTAATTTGTCATCTTAAAAAGGTAGAATAAATATCTCCAACAATAAATACAGTCCACGCTCAATTACCACAATGCAACAGTAATACAGTAGGCAGCTGCTTTTACGGTAGGCAGCGGATTGACTCTGCCCCTGGTATTGCTGAAGTCCATGGGCGACGGTAACCACTCACCATCAGGTGGGCCCTCTGCTCGTCTGTCTACACGGGCAATAAAAAAATTAAAAATTCCTTTAACTTCACCGAAAGCTACGTCTCTTCATACAGAAATGGCTTTGAATAGTATGATAGATAAATCAGGTATAGAAAGCCCTCAAGGTTAAAAGCCTGTGGTCTTTTGATGACGATTTTCTCAAGAGTCTTCAGATCGAGGATTCGAAGTACATTGTTTACTTTTGTTACATCTTCAGCAAGCCATTGATGATTACGTGCCGGGCGAAGACTACCCGGCTTTCACGGAAGTCCCAAAGGGTCTGTCTTTCACCTGCAACGACAAGATACCGGGATACTACGCAGATCCTGAAACCAATTGCCAAGTGAGTGATAGTTAATAGCTGGTCATGGACCATACATAGAGCACCTGTGTTAGGCAGCCTTGTCCAGCTCTTTTATACCCATAGACAGCCCATAGACATGTACAATGTAAATGCGCCACCCACCTTGGGATATAAGTTCTAAGGTCTCAGTATAGTTAGTTACAACGGCTGCCCCACCCTTCAAACCGAAACGCATTACTGCTTCACGGCAGAAATAGGCAGATAGAATTCTTAATGGTATAAGCATTTTATTTCTACATTAGAAACCCTAGTATAAGTCTCGCCAATACAGAAACGAATCGAAAATGGCGTCTATGTACTTGCACTGACAGATGGTAGGGTCAACAAATAAAAAGAAGGATAGAAAGAAAAAGTTGTTTATTGTAAAAAAATATAAAAAAACAAATGAGTCGTCTATTATCAAAGGTGGCAATCTGTGCATTTGGACAAAAAAATTTTATTGATATGTCAATACAGATTGATTTGAATATAATCGTCTCCTTCAAAGAATACGGTTCAAAACCTGCATTAAATAAAGGTTAATAGTTAACCTGTTATTTATCTAAGATGTCGTTCCGAAGAGTTTTGTGACTGCCAATGGAATACAAAGTCAATAATTCGTTTTTCTGATTTACCAATAATTGTCCAAAAGTCAGATTGCCGGCTTTGATAATAGTCGACTCAAATGTGAATGTAGTTTACTTTGTGCCCTGGCAGAGGGGGAGGTGTCTCATCTGGGATGCAACTTGCGTAGACACTTTTGCTGCCAGTCATCTAAGTGAAAAAACTCGAACTCAACAACAAAGTCAGAACTGATAGATTTTTTTGCATGCAGTACACGCCGTGTGCGACTAAAGACAGCAATAGTTTAGAGTGAGAGCGCATGATCGCCGCCGCCATTTTAGATTCGTTTCTTTATTGGCGTGTCTTATAGCGTCTTATAACCTATAAGGTCATAGCCTATCTCCTGGCTGAGCCTTTGCTCGCCCATCTGCCCTGGTAAAACTGGAAAGGCCTCAGAGCCACGAGTAACTTAACAAACATAAAAAAAGTATGACCTCTATTGAAAGTGTGAGGAGCTATTATTAATGGACCATACATCTCTAAGTGACGTTCAAGTGAACTGTGAGTCTCTCTTACGACTAAAGCGTGATGGTCCCAATAATAATGGATGAACAGCTTTGAAATCGATATGTCATCAAATCTGCATACCATTGCAACGTTTGAAATATAATAGTCCCGGTTGATGCTGTAGATGAAAGAAATTCCCAGTCATAGAGCCTATAGACTTTAGAGCCCAATTGTCGTCATGTCTCAAGCTACCTTGAGACGTGAGGTCGCCGTCTCAATTCTATTGTACAACTGGTGTCCCATTATGACACTAAAAGTTTCATTTGCATCACGACGGAATGCGCGATGGAGAGTGCCTACTCATGAATGCTCATAACACCAATTAAAACTGCAAATGTGGAAAAACTGTCCATGTAACTTCAAGTGTTCAAGGCTGAGCATCAGCGAGTATAAGTTAGTTGAATATCGCTCCATTATCCGGTCACCGTCCTCCGAACCTGTCGCTGCGACGAAGGGCTCGACGAGGGAATTAACTCATAGACACAGCCCACTGAATTTCTCGCCGGATCTTCTCAGTGGGTCGCGTTTCCGATCCGGTGGTAGGTTCTACGAAGCACTGCTCTGGCTAGGGCCTGTCTTAGCAACACTCCCGGTTAGAGCCCTGTGATCTCACCTACACGTCAAGGAGAAGCTGAAATAACCTCTCAAGGCTATCAGCATGTAGGAGAGAAAAAAAGCTCCACTATTCGCCTTATGATAACTAATTCCTTTGGTAACGCTTTGCTAAGATCATACCTGTAGGTGTTTAATGAACCATCCTACTAACATTATGAACGCGTATGGATGTATATTTGTTACTCACTCACGCAAAAATTACTGAAAGGATTTTGATGAAACATTACTAATAATATAGCCTACAGATCAGAATAACACTGGCTATAGCAATTTATAAAGATATCGTGCGAATTACCCAAAATATGACGATAAGTTTCGAGTGAGAACCAAAAAATCTGTCATCAAAATTCAATAAGATCGTCCATAAATTAAAGTTCCTGAAGCAATAGTTTTATATAAACATGACTTCTTCTTCAACTGGGTCTTAGTCGACTTTAAGTGGTGGGGAATTGCTTGTCTCTGTCGTCACTGCAACGAGCCAGACCTATTTTCTAGGTGTGGCACTGGTGCGTGCCAGGCATCGGTGGTAACCAGCAGTATTCCTTCTTGTGCGGTATCGGGACTGTCTTCAACCAGAGAACGAGGGTCTGCGACTATTTCTTTAAGGTATTTAGTAGTTTAACGCAGTTTTTCACTTACCCAAACACATACACAGACACTCACACGCACAACCATCTACTTAAATGATAACACCTAATGATCTCTCAACACTATTTCTATGGGATTTTATGACCTGGTAACTAAAACTTTTAGGTCAAGTCTTATTTTAATTTTAATGAAATAAAGTTGATTAATATGAAACATGGCATGAAATGAAAATTAAATGAGATGAGATGATATGAGATGAAATATAATCTCAGTAAAATGGTGGTTATTTACTGAGACTTTTTCAGTGGAATTTTTGGAGGATCCCGAGAAGCTACGTTCAGCGATTTTGTTTTACTTTCCCACATTCGTGTGCACTTTCACAGACACTAAACAGTTAATAAACCATCTTTATTACACATTTAAACCTGAAGAAACAGTAAATAGACAAAACAAAACAAATCACACAACTTCACTCCTCGCGTTCCATCCAAATATCCATCTCTCAATACTAGTCCTCGACACCTGTTCACGACTTAACCTAACCTAATCTATCCCAAGAACCTGGAGACCAGTAATACGGGTCTTTGAACCTAGTACAGACTTCAGCTCTTTCAAAGTTTAACAAAATAAATAATAAGGTTAATCTCTATTTGTATTTGTACTATGCCTCTAAGAGAGTAGCCCACTAAATTTCTTGCTGGATCTTCTCAGTGGGCCGCGTTTCCGATCCGGTGTTAGATTCTGCGAAACACCGCTCTTGGTAGGGCCAGTGCTAACAACACTTCTATCATCTTCATGCAAATTTCGTCATTGGCATCCTTATTTTTTGCTTAGGTGGGTGGACGAGCTCGCGACCCACCTGGTATTAAGCGGTTACCGGAGTCCATGGACAATTACAGCGTAAATGGTCGCCACCTACCTTGAGATATAAGTTCTAAGGTCTAAGTATAGTTACAACGGCTGTCCTACCCTTCAAACCGAAACGCATTACTGCTTCACGGCAGAAATATGCAGGGCGGTGGTACCAACCCGTGCGGACTCACAAAAGGTCCTACCATCAGTATCTGAGGTAATAGTTCATTTTGGGAAATGGGTCTCTGCCCCATAACAGTTTGGGAATTCCTGCTCTACGTCAATTGAAATAAGGTGTCTTATCGTGCACCACGTGCGTGAGACTGACCTCATAACCGCCTCAATGCTGGCTGTTGCCTCCCTCAGGTCGACTGTCCGAACTCTCCAGCCTACTACGGAGTCAACGAAGATCTTTACAAAGATGAAGCAGGAAACTACATCAGCGGCAAATAACACGACTGACTATCTGTTATTAATTTACAGTTTCAACTTAAAAGCCTTAACGATACGCGAATACAAAAAAAAAAAACAGAACTAAAAATTGCCAAGCGCTAAAAATAACATGTGTGCAATTCACACGTGTTAGAAGGGAAACCTTCACAAATTAAAATACAGTTATCCTAAATGTATAAGTGTATTATTAGTAAAATTTTGTCATTAGTAAATAATTGTAAATCACCTTTTATAGTATGAGGTAGCGCCCTCTGTAAATTGATATTTTAACTTCACGTATATCCTAAATTAAAATTCACTACAAGAGGTTTCATACACACGTTAGTATTAAAACATCTCACAGATGGCGCTGTATTAAAAATAAAATACTTTATACGTATGTTTTAATGTATGTAGGAACTGAGCATTCTGTCTCACTTTTTCTCTCGATCTTTCTCACTTGCTTGGTCCCTACTCTCATGGCTAGTTGCTTCGTGCTACGTTCGCCCTGTCTTACTCTCTCTCAATCGGTCTCGATCGCTCTCTCTCTCTTTTTCGACACTTCCGTTGCATACCTGCGTGACGTTACATCTGTAAAAATTTTACCCTCATGCGCCTAAAGAAGTTTCACTTCAAAAGCTACTAAAGCTGTTCATCATCATCATCATCATCATCAGCCTTTATCTGCCCACTGCTGTTAATTTAATTAAATTAAAATCATTAGTCAGTCAGTGTTTTTGTGAAATGCTAATAATGTTTTGACTCAAATAAATACTACTGTGGTATTGTTACAATTTTATTGGCTCGTCCTGTCTCTATATATCTATGTAACGATGTCTTTTAGTGTCATTTTTATCGACTTCAAGACTTCATCGGTGTTATTAGGATCGTCAGGATAAAGAGAAATATATCCTTGGTACGCTAAAGCGTTATTTTTAATCTTTTATCTAGAGTAACTTATTGAGTCAAATTGCAACGCTTGACGTCATATGTGGCTAAAGGTAGCTCTAGTGTACGTTATAACGTTTGGTTCCTCGATTTTGGCCCCTAATGACGTCACCTAAAATGAGGTTGCCTTCAGTTGTATTTTTTAAAGTCAATTCAAGCCTTTACCATCGGTCGACCAGATCGCAATGTAACAGACCCGTCAATGTTTGTACTAATGTAAGATTCAATACTAGTAAGTAGAAATATCAGTCTAGTTGTAATGTTACCATTGTATTAATGTATACTGTAGCTTTAGTGTTTGACATTTATATTTTTAACGATAATTACATACGTGTTTATGTTAGTGTATTTTTTTATTGTATCATATTTAGACTAAAGCCATTATCAGTTCGAATTGCAATGTCAAAGTGTATTGTAATTGGATAAGCTTAATATTGCTGAAGATGAAATAACAAATCGGGTCCGACGTAAAGACTTCAGAAGGCGTAACGCAAAATTCGTTTTCTTGGCTGAATGTTAAGACGGAGAAACTTTTTTTGCTTTTGCACACCCAGCCAGCAATGTAGCCTGTTTGTGCATGACCCCCCCCCCCTCCCGCGACACAAGAGTTCGCTGACCCCGGTATTTTCGTTTTTTTTTTAATTTGCTTTACATTACGGAGTTGTCATGAGTCGAACTAATATAAACCCGTTTCATTGTTACGTTTGATATTAAAAACTATTAAAATAAATAATAGTTTAAAAAAGTAAGCTTTTAAAAAAAATCCTATTAAAAATTTGAAACTAAATTTTAATAAATTTGATTTAGAAATAGTGTAAGAAAAAATTATTTTAGTGTAAAAAGCTAATAAGCAATATATAAAAAGCAATATTATTATATAAAAAAAATTGTGTTGCTACTCCAGCCTGAGCTCGCTGAGAAATAAAACGACGTCAAAACTAATCTATACATTTTTAATTTTGTTTTTTTTTTATTGCCGTATAGGCAGACAGGCCCACCTGATGGTGAGTGTGGTTACCGTCGCCCATGGACGTCAGCAAGGCCAGGGGCAGAGCCAAGCCGCTGCCTACCGCTTAATACTCTCCACAAGCCTCGTTTGAAGAAGGACTTGTCATAGCGCTCGGGAAACACCGCGGAGGGGAGCTCATTCCATAGCCGGATGGTACGTGGCAAAAAATACCTCTGGAAACGCACTGTGGATGACCGCAGTGGCTCCAGGTAGTATGGATGAACTCTATTCCGGTGGCGGGCGATGCGATGGTAAAAACGAGATGCTACCTACGCTGCCTACCGCTTAATACTCTCCACAAGCCTCGTTTGAAGAAGGACTTGTCAGTCGTCATAGTTTCGATAAATATTAAAACTTTTACAAGACAACGTTAAAGTAATCAATTAATATTCAATTAACGTATAAAGTTCGTCGGGATCGCGACCAACGTTCGCCTTGTGTTAGTACGCCATTCACGGAAAATAAAAATGCTCTGTCGACGAATATTAATTATTATAGTTGTGAAACTTGATATTGTGAGCAATAGCATTAGCAAACTTTTACTGGCTAGCTTTTACTGGTGGTAGGACCTCTTGTGAGTCCGCGCGGATAGGTACCACCGCCCTGCCTATTTCTGCCGTGTAGCAACAATGTGTTTCGGTTTGAAGATCGAATACGAATAACTCAAGAAAATAGTTTTTTTAACTACTTACAAACTGTTTATGAAGCTCGGGTAATTCATACAAAGCCCTATACATTTTTATCGGTTCAGAGGTGTATCTCGCACACATTAAAAGACAATACGATATCAAATACGCGGAACCTCTGGGTCTGCGGAGGGACTTCGATTTCCTCTGTATTTTGTACCGTATGTTCCATGGGGAGTGCTCTGAGGAACTGTTTGAGATGATGTCATCATCTCGTTTTTACCATCGCACCGCCCGCCACCGGAGTAGAGTTCATCCATACTACCTGGAGCCACTGCGGTCATCCACAGTGCGTTTCCAGAGGTCTTTTTTATCACGTACCATCCGGCTTTGGAATGAGCTCCCCTCGACGGTGTTTCCCGAGCGCTATGACATGTCCTTCTTCAAACGAGGCTTGTGGTGAGTTCTTAATGGTAGGCAGTGACTTGGCTCTGCTCCTGGCATTGCTGAAGTCCGTGGGCGACGGTAACCACTCACTATCAAGGGGCTGTATACTCCTCTGCCTATATAATAAAAAAAATACGCATGAATTTTGTTTGTTCGTGTACAAGGAAACAAACTAAATGATTGTATTTTCGGAGTCCACAAGTGAGAGTGACAACAAAAAATGTGTGTAAAACTTAGATAATATTCGCCATAAATTAATTTTAGATAAGATTTTTAATGTAAATACGACTTAATTAATGCATACATAATAAAATATTGTTTATTCGCAAAGTGTTGTTTTAATTGTTGATGAACAAAACCTTCTGTTAGAGAAAGAGAAGGAAAAGAAAGAGAGAGAAAGAATACAGTCTATTGCACACCAAAACACAATGAACATTTAAAAAAAAACAATCAACAAGCAGATATAGTTGTACAATAAGGGCTCTTATCGCTAAAAGCGATCTCTTCCAGAGCTTTCCAGAGAGCTTCATAAATTCCATTGAAAACAATGACACATCACGCAGATACGATAGTCCGAGCCACGACGGTACAATTTATGAAGGGGGTCATACATTATATTAAATTATCAATATATTATTATATAAAAGAAAGTCGTGTTAGTTACACTATTTATAACTCAAGAACGGCTGAATTGATTTGGCTGAAAATTGGTGAGGAGGTAGCTTAGAACCAGGAGAAGGACATAGGATACTTTTTTTTATCATGTTCCTATTGGGACGTGTCATAAAACGTGGTATAACAAAACGCAACTGATATGCAATAACAAAACGCAACTGACAGCTATACGTAATATATTCTATGGTTAATTATAGTTGAATTTTGAAGTTGACGTGTTTAAATAAACTGTGTGGCGGAACAAAGTTCGCCGGGTCCGCTAGTTTAAAATATATTAAACAAAACAAACTGTCTATATATTGATACGTGAAACAAACACTTTGTATCCATTTTTACGAAAATTGCGCGGACGGAGGAGTATGAAACTTCCCGCACTTACAGAAAATATGGAGGAGAACATTATTATTTATTGTTATTATTATTAGGGAGTCCAACGCTCATATACATATTAATCTATCCATTAAGAACATGTATTGTCTACATGGATACCAAGTTTCAAGTCAATCGGATGCATGGTTCAGTAGTTATAACGGAACATCCGTAAAAATCACTGTAGATTTATATTATATTGGTATAAAAAAAAAAATTTATATGGCGTCGCTCGGTGGAGCAGGAGCTAGGGGTCTTGGGCATGACGTGGGAGGAGCTAGAACAGACTGCCCAAGACCGATGTAAATGGAAAAATTTGATTCGAGCCCTACACCGCAGCAGAGGGTAATAGGAAAGAATGATGATGATGATGATAGAAAAAAACACTGTAGATTTATATATTAGTATAGATTAGTCTTCAAGGCAGAATCCTTGATGTTAGTCTCATGCCTGAGCGTATTTACCCCTTTAGGTATAAAACATTCACTTTGGCAGTAAGGTTGTTTGGCTCCCATATAAGACATTTCCCGATACCTTCCGTAATTTATATAAAACTGACGGATTGCCAACAAAAGTGTTGCCGAAAATATTAAGAAATATTAATGTTTTATTAACTTATAATTTTTTTTTTTTTTTATTGCTTAGCTGGTTGGGCGACCTCACAGCCCACCTGGTGTTAAGTGGTTACTGGAGCCCATAGACATCTACAACGTAAATGCGCGACCCACCTTGAGATATAAGTTCTAAGGTCTCAGTATAGTTACAACGGCTGCCCAACCCTTCAAACCGAAACGCATTACTGCTTCACGGCAGAAATAGGCAGGCTGGTGGTACCTACCCGCGCGGACTCACAAGAGGTCCTACCACCAGATGTATCTAAAGTCAAATGTCCTTTTAAATTTGTTTTTCGACATTTCAAAGTGGCTTAAAGGAAGAAAATTCATTACCAAATCAAGCTCGCCTTTATGCACGTATCATTTAGATGTCATTTTAAATACTCTTAGTGATATTAATACAAGAATAGAAACATAAAAAAATGCGACATAAATTCAATAAAATCACAGCACAATTCACAAAAAAAGTACTTGAGGCCGCAAACAAAGACAGTTGGTTCGTATTGCTTGGTATTGACAATGCATTCTCACAGATTTATGTGTGCGTGCACCGTATTAGCTGCGGCTGTGTGCGTGCGGTATGCACATAAAGACGCGTCTCGATTGGTGAAATATTTTACGCGATTCATTCGCAAGACTTTTTTTCTCCTACCTACGCCGAAAGTTCGGTTTTCCTCCTGCTGTACAGGGAAGAAAGTGTAAATTTTCCTCCCTGGGTAATTACAAGTGCGCATGCGCGTTAGTGTCTACGTCTGCTCTCACGCACCTAAAATTCTACGCCATTGTTGTGCTCGGGTAATTTGCAATATTGTGTTTAGTGTAAAAGTGAAATAAACAAAAGGCAATAAAATTTAATAGTGAAGTATTAAACAAAGATGAGTTCATCAGACAGTTCTTATTCATTAGTAGTAGTTTATTTAAAAATTAAAAAACAGTTAAATTGTTTTTTTATGAGCCTCCTCACCCCGGGCTCCGCCCCGGGACCCCACCGGGACTTCGCCCCTGGACCCCGGCTCGGTACTCCACGAACTTTCAGCCTGATAGGAGAAAAAATAGTATGTGCACCGCGGGAAAAAAGTAGGACATCTCATCCCGCGTGTTTGCCACCCTTACTTTTCTCCCTCGGTGCACAATATACTATTTGTTTCCATCTCAATCATAACAATAATGTTTGACTTAATACCCACCGACCTGATTTTCACAGTAAGATTCCAGAGAACTTTTTTGGCGGCTTTGGAATGAGCTCCCCTCCACGGTGTTTCACGAGCGCTATGACATGTCCTTCTTCAAACGAAGCTTGTGGAGATACCTTACCGTTAGGCAGTGGTTTTGCTCTGCTCCTGGCACTGTTGAAGTCCATGGGCGACGGTAACCTCTTAGCCAAAAAAAAAAAGAAAGCTACAAGTACTACAAGCTATTAGAAGTTACACATTTAATTGTCTCAAAACGAATTCATTTGATGATTGATATTTACGGGCTCAAGAAAACGCGCTTTTTAAGCACTAATTACACTGCTATTTATTAATTTTATAATCACAATCACTTCTGTCGTCGTCGTGGCCTAAAGGATAAGACGTCCGGTGCATTCGTTTTTTTTTTTTTTTTTTTTTTTATGATTGAAAGTTTACTGGTGGCCCGAAGGCCTTTCCAGTTTCACCAGGACAGGTGGGCGAGCAAAGGCTCAGCCAAGAGGGGTGGGATTTGCTAACAACTGCCCGAGCGCCTCCGAAGGAGACCTAACAACTCAAGAGCAATTGTTTCGCGAATGAATCTACTACCGGATNATTTGCTAACAACTGCCCGAGCGCCTCCGAAGGAGACCTAACAACTCAAGAGCAATTGTTTCGCGAATGAATCTACTACCGGATCGGAATCGCGACCCGCTGAGAAGATCCGGCGAGAAACTCAGCGGGCTGATGCATGGGTTAGGTTGCACGTCGACCTCCTTGTCGAGTTCGACGAGTACGGTTACCGGGGTCCCTAAGCCTGCCCTTAGTATTAGAGCTGAAGGCATCAACCGGTGCATTCGTGTTGAGCGATGCACCGGTGTTCGAATCTCAGGCGGGTACAAATTTTTTTAATGAAATACGTACTCAACAATCGTACTAACATCGTGTAATAAAAATCAAACCCGCAAAATTATAATTTGCGTAATGACTGGTGGTAGGACCTCTTGTGAGTTCGCACGGGTAGGTACCACCGCCCTGCCTATTTCTGCCGTGAAGCAGTGATGCGTTTCGGTTTGAATGCTAGGGTAGCCGTTGTAACTATACTGAGACCTTAGAACTGATATCTCAAGGTGGGTGGCGTATTTACGTCGTAGATGTCTATGGGCTCCAGTAACCACTTAACGCCAGGTGGGCTGTGAGCTCGTCCACCCATCTAAGCAATAAAAAAAACCAAAAAAAAGGTGGGCCGTATGCTCGTCTGCCTACAAGGGCAATAAAACAAAATAAGCAAAAAATTTGCTTAGTAGTCGCAAAAAAAAAATCTCCAATCTAAACCCAACCTTTATGATTGCGTCTACGCTGACTCGAAAAGCGAACGGTTCAGTCCGCGAGAGCCTTCACGACGATCGGCCGTGGCTCTGTTACATAAAAAAAAATATATATAAAGAAAAACCTCAAAGAGACCTCACACGCGAGTGCACCGACGGAAAACCAGGAAAATAATTCGGAAAAAGTGAGTTGATCCGTGCAACGCGTTCTTAATTTTGACAAGTGACGTTAATGACAGTTATGTTTTTTTTTTAATTAACGAGGCACAGGTCGCCACCTCGTTATGCGTTGTTACGTAACTTTTTTTGTGTACTTTTTTTTAGTAAGCGCTGACTGCACTTTGAGCAGGAGAACCTGTTTGAGTTTGAATTGAGGTTACAGTATGATTGTTATTACGAAACTACGGATTTGTCAATAATCGTGTTCGTGAACATTTTGTTAATACTAAAGCGTTTATTATTTAAAAAAAACTTATCGTAAAGCTATACCAGATTACCCAATCTATATCACTATTATGAAAATCTCCGGCAGCTGACAGCTGGTTATTGACGATGCTATTGACAAGAACAAAAGTTTCTTCGGCCGGAGTAAGCCAATAAAACGCTCAGTTTTAGAAATTCAACGCGTGCTAGAAATCGAAATGAAAGCCAATATGGATTGGTAGTTATTACCTGTCGTTTTTCCCACGAAGCCCGGAGAATAGGGTAACCAATAATTTGTACGTTAATTGGCTTAAATAATGTCTACATGTCTACATTACTTGTCGTCAGCTACGTGCGAGTAACTCAATGTTTGTTTAGCTGGAGAAAAACTTAATCTCATTGTCGATGGATGGATTTTGGAAACTCACCCTACTTCGTGGCAGGAATAGGCAGGATATTGGTACTACTCGTTCAGGTTACCTGTGCTGATAGCCTTGAGAGGCTATTTCAGCTTCGCCCTAACGTGTAGGTGAGCTCACGGGGCTCAAACCTGATGACGTTGCTAACACGAGCCCTAGCAAGAGCCGTGCTTCGCAGATTCTACCACAGCATCGGAAACGCGACCCACTAAGATCCGGCGAAACTCAGTGGGCTGTGTCTGTGGGTTAATTCGCTCGTCGAGCCCTTCGTCGCAAGCGACGGGTTCGACGAGGACGATAACCGGTGCTTGTGGTACCTAAAAGCACCGTTAGTGGATCGGGAGGATCCGTAATGACGTGTTTAGGGTTAACAATACCACCGCTAATAATGCAATAAAACTTGCGACTTAAAATATTATTGACAAATACAAGATTAACATGTTTTTCGGTCATGTGATATTTACTATTAACAAAAATAATTGCACTAGTCAAAATACTATTTCCATTTTAAAACAATATGTAAATAATACAATATTTTTTTGTTAAATTGTTATATTATGTCTACTCTTTGATCCTACCTCATTATTTATAGAGAAATCATTATTTGTATGATTCTAGGGATGCAACAAAAAAAAACAATAATTAATTATTAAGTATAAAAAATTTCGTAATTTATTGTAAGCTTGATTTCAAACAAAGCTTTCGGGGCCTTCAACCAATACGTTTATATTCTGGGAAAAGCGTCAAAAGCTTCAATCATTTGTAAAAAGTATGCTATTAAGATTTACCTAACCATGCTTTAGTTCTTAGAAAGAACACCTCGCAACCCTGACGCTCGTGGTACAAAAATTTCCTAATTTAGTTTAAGTTTGATATTAAATATAGCTTTCGAGGGATTCATTACTGACCCTAAAACGTTTATATTCTTTAAAAGAAAAAACTCTATTAAACTTTATCTAAATATCCTGTATTTACACAAAAAAAACCTAGCAACCCTAGCGGACTTGCTAATGTGAATTCCACTATTATCCCAACGATAGGATATCGGATATGAGATCACGATTATGAGAACTTAGACTTATTATCTCAAAATCGCCTTAAAAGCATTAGAGACCGCAACATAAGGCTTGATACCACCATCTCGTTTTTACCTTCGCACCGCCCGCCACCGGAGTAGAGTTCATCCATACTACCTGGAGCCACTGCGTTCATCCACAGTGCGTTTCCAGAGATCTTTTTTGCCACGTACCATCCGGCTATGGAATGAGCTCCCCTCCGCGGTGTTTCCCGAGCGCTGTGACATGTCCTTCTTCAAAAGAGGCTTGCGGAGAGTACTTAACGGTAGGCATCGGCTTGGCTCTGCCCCTGGCATTGCTGAAGTCCATGGGCGACGGTAACCGCTTACCATCAGGTGGGCCGTATGCTCTATAAAAGCGTATTTTGTTAGTTTTTTTTAAACTATTATTTATTTTTCATTTTTTAGTTAAATTGAAATTTTTTCAATTTTTTTTTTCACTGTTCGGTTTCTTTCGTTGCTTAATAAGTATACCAAATTTCGAGTTAATCCGACGTTTTGAAGAGGGTCAAAATCATGTTCAAAGATTCCGTTACAAACATACATACGTCTGAAGCTAATAAAAGCGTATTAAAAACTAGCAGACCGCTCCGGCTCCGCTCGGGTCTCTATCAAAAATTTCAACGATAATTGACGTTGTTTTATTTTTTTAAATATAAGAACAGTTAGACACATGCTGTCGCGACACTTTTTATAAATAATAATGTGTTCTACAAAATCGTTGTAAATTATTTTATTCTATCATCAATAGTTTTCGCAGGGCACGCGACGTAAAGACTATTTTAGATATTTTTTTTACACCTTGGGTTACATTATTGGAGTTTTAGTAAGGATCCCTAATTTTTTTCAAAAAAGATATTAGCCTATGTCACTCGGGAATAGTGTAGCTTCCAAACAGTGAAAGAATTTTTCAAATCGGTTCAGTAGTTTCGGAGCCTATTCAATACAAACAAACTAACAAATCTTTCCTCTTAATATTAGTATAGACTAGTTCAACGAAGCAGTAATTCTGGTGCAAACCCAGCTGACAGAACCCAGATATTTATAATTAAGGTAAGCGTCAGATAATACTGACGAGTCTGCCCGTGAGCACAATCTAACGCTAAACAATTAGTATCGCTTCGGTACCCCGACAAAATTAGTTTTTACTTTTATTTTTAGAGTTTTCATATAATTAAAAAACTTTATTTTTAAGTGTTTCGTAATTTATTGTTGATGGTTGGTATTTATTTTCGTTTTACGCGTGTTCTTTATATTAAATTGGATTCATTTTGTTTGTTTCTCGTGAGGGTTTTCTTTCTTTTCTTGTCGCGCGCTGGTATGCAGTGATGGATTTACGTGTAGGCCCGTGAGGCCTGGCCCTAGGCTGGCAATTTTTTTTAACTTTTTTTTATTTATTTATTTTTTATTGCTTAGATGGGTGGACGAGCTCGCATCCCACCTGATGTTAAGTGGTTACTGGAGCCCATAGACATTAACAACGTAAATGCGCCACCCACCTTGAGATATAAGTTCTTAGGTCTCACGTATAGTTACAACAGCTGCCCCACCCTTCAAACCGAAACGCATTACTGCTTCACGGCAGAAATAGGCAGGGCGGTGGTACCCACCCACACGGACTCACAAGAGGTCCTACCACCAGGTAGTACAACTGTCAAAATCCTAGATTAAGGAGGCACAATATTACAGAATAGAAATTAAATCTTACAATAAAAGATGAAGATGTCACTGGACATCTGATTCTGTTTATATCACTGTTAAGATTAAAATCAGCCAAAGGAATAGTTCATTGTTGACTGAAACAAATTGTCAAAATTTTATAGACGAAAAAAGTAAAGACAGTCTCCTTTGAAAATGATGTGCTTAGTGCGAGTTCTTTTAACGTTCGCGATAGCGTATAAGTTAACTCAAATTCGGGTCCACTTCGATAAAGCGGCACGACACGAGAACCCTCTCATCGTGGCCGCTGGTAATTACTTTCCCGGTCCTGCGGACAGAATGGAAAGCAGTCGACGTCGCCCCAAACACGTCATTTCGGATCCTCCCGATCCATTAACGGTGCTTTTAGTTACCTCAAGCACCGGTCATCGTTCTCGTCGAACCCGTCGCTTGCGACGAAGGGCTCGACGAGTAAATTAGCCCTCAGACACAGCCCACAGAGTTTCTCGCGTTTCCGATCCGGTGGTAGATTCTGCGAAGCACGGCTCTTGCTAGGGTTCGTGCTAGCAACGTCATCAGGTTTGAGCCCCGTGAGGTCACCTACTAGTTAAGGCGACGCTGATATAGCCTTGAGAGGCTATCAGCTTAGGTAGGAAAAACAAAAAAAAATCAAATTCGTATGGAGTTTGGAACGTTTGCCTACGTTTGCGCTAGGGGCGCGCGCTGTTCGGACTCCACACAAATAAGAGTTTTTTTTTTTTATTGCTTAGTTGGGTGGACGAGCTCACAGTCCACCTGGTGTTAAGTGGTTACTGGAGCTCATAGACATCCACAACGTAAATGTGCCACCCACCTTGAGATATAAGTTATAAGGTCTCACGTATAGTTAAAACGGCTGCCCCACCCTTCAAACCGAAACGCATTACTGATTCACGGCAGAAATAGGCAGGGTGGTGGTACCTACCCGCGCGGACTCACAAGAGGTCCTACCACCAGTAATTACGAAAATTATAATTTGGCGGGTTTGATTTTTATTACACGATGTTATTCCTTCACCGTGGAAATCAATCCTGAACATTTGTTGAGTACGTATTTCATTAGAAAAATTGGTACCTGCCTGAGATTCGAACATCGGTGCATCGCTCAACACGAATGCACCGGACGTCTTATTCGTTAGGCCACGACGACTTCAAACTTCAACTTTTACGCTATCGAGAACGTTTAAAAGCTCGCACTAAACGCTATGTTTTCGTTAAAGTTGCCTATTAAACTAAATGCAAGTTACGTTTAAGTAATCGCCGGTACGCAGCCTTGATAGCGCCCGGCAAACTTTCCACGAGCCTTGCCCAACTCATTGCGAAGTCTTACGTAATTATTGATAAGTCGCTGACGTTGGTCCAATTCGTGTCACCCTCATACTGCCACTGGTACGAATACATTTTTTCCACATCTATCATAAGTAGTGGTCCTTCAGTAGCCGAAATTCGACTAATTCAATGAAATTATAAGTTTGAACATTATTATGGTTCTATTGTCAAAGACTATTTAATATACTTCTAATTATAATCACAGATTTCTTTTTTTTTTAAGGGATTTTATGACCTGGTAA